GGTGGGTGGGTGAATAGATGGATAAATGGATGGGTGGGTGGATGGGTGGATGGGTTGGGTGAGTGGATGGATAGATGGTGAATAGATGGATGAATAAACAAACAAACGAATGATAAAATGAGGTTGTCTCATGTCTTTGTTTTCTCCCCCAGACTACAAGGGTTATGTGAGGTTGATATGTGATGAATCATGTAAAATAGAATATCATCCCAACTGCTGGAAGAAATATAAGAGTAACTATGGTGATAGCAATGCTGACAAGGTAAATGTCTTTGTATTGATAATAATCTCAAAATACCAGAAACACATTTATTGGACCCTCTTCACCTCTTGGAAATTCCAACCCTCTTCTATGGACAAGGTGGGGATATTTTCTGGAACCACACAATATACCTCAGAACCTTCCCATCCCTTGGAAATTCATTTGGATATTTTCTGGTACTACACAATATGCCCTCCTCAGACCCTCCCCACCCCTTGAGAATTCTAATCTTCCTCCATGGGTGAGGTGTGGATATTTTCTGGTACTACACAATATACCCTCCTCAGACCCTCCCCATCCCTTGAAAGTCCCAATCCCCCTCCATGGATGAGGTATGGATATTTTATTGGTGCTACACAATATACCCTTCTCAGACCCTCCCCACCTCTTGGAAATTCCAATCCACCTCCATGGGTGAGGTATGGATATTTTCTGGTACTACACAATATACCCTTCTCAGACCCTCCCCACCTCTTGGAAATTCCAATCCACCTCCATGGGGGAGGTATTGATATTTTATTGGTACTACACAATATACCCTTCTCAGACCCTCCCCACCTCTTGGAAATTCCAATCCACCTCCATGGGTGAGGTGTGGATATTTTCTGGTACTACACAATATACCCTTCTCAGACCCTTCCCACCCCTTGAAGTTCCAATCACCCTCCATGGAGGAGTCATTTTCTGGAACTAAGCAACACCAATATATACCCTTCTCAGACCATTGCCAACCCTTTGAAACTCCAATCTGGCTTCATAAAAATTCTGAATATTGTCTCATATTTATTAATACCTTTTTTCATAGGACTATCTAGAACGTGTGTGCTTGACACCTGATTGTGGTGCACCTGTGGTTGGTATCCAGATATATGGTACTAGCGGACTCAAAACTGAGGTATATTGAATTATTTTAGTATCTTTATTTAACAGCAGTCAATTAAAAAATAAATAGGATACTAAGGGCCAAGTCATCTTTGATTTGGGGGGGGGGGGGG